TACAAAGATATAAAACAATCATTTCTCAAGTAATGAAATGTATTCAGCAAGTGGCACCTCCTCACTTTTATCTTGCTAAGCCATGAAAAGTGAAAATTAAATACTGTTGAATTACTTGAGCCTTTGACCTGACACATAAAGGCACAGTCCCTAACACCCAGAAAGACAAATGAACAGACACATACAAACTGAAAGCCAACAATCAACATCTTAATCACCGATCCTTGAAAACTTATCAACATTTCTAAAAACCTGAAAAAAAATTATATATATAATGTATATATATACACGCACATCCAGGAAATTATATAGATGATAGATTGGTAGATAGATAATTGATAGATAGATAGATAGATAGATAGATAGATAGATAGATAGATAGATATAGAGTCGACAGTATAGTATGAATGACTGAAGCAGACTTGAAATCCAGACTTCTTAAATTTTGAATCCCAAATCTTCCACTTACTGACTTACTAGCTATATGACCTTGGGCAAGTTACTCTATGCCTTGCTTTCCTCGTTTAGGAAATAATGGTAATAGAGGCACTGGCTGGCTCAGTTTATAGAGCATGCGACTCTTGATCTCAAGGTCATGCCCTCTATACCCTATGTTGGGCATAGAGATTACTTAATAAAAAAAAAACCCGCAAAAAACTTAAAATAATGATAATAATAATATCTACCTTAGAGAATTGTAGCATGAATTAAGTGAACTATTATATGTCATGCACTTAGAGCTATGCTTGGCACATAGGAAGCACTCGGTAAGCACCAGTCACGCTTGTTGTTGATGGTGATGCTATCATGATGATAACTCCTCACCACGTCCCTACCACTGGGCTGGGTTGGAGCTTGAGGAGCTTCTTGATTAAAAAATAAGTCAATCTCTTAGGCAATTAAACATTCTTTCATATATTAGTATCCCATCTAGTAAGAACAAAATATCAATGAAAATAGAGAGAAATACAATTCAAAAGATCTTCAGGACCTTTTTCACTAGTTGCTGATAAATTATTAAAAGCGTTCTTACATAGAAAAAATGAAACCAAAGGAAAGTAATTTCTGCTTGACCCCCATAAAATAAGCAAATATAGACTTTATGAGATATTAAAACACAACAGTACTCCCCCCCACACACTTATTAAATGGATAGTGGAATCACTTATAAAATTAAAGTTGTTTATAAGCATAATTATAAATAAGGAATTAGTTCCATCAACATCACAAGTGTACTACATGACTTCCCACCTCCAAGAACATGACAAATGAAGTCAAAGCACCCCTGACCTTATGACATCCTAAAAAACTATCAAATGAAGATGATCCCAAGATTCCAAAAGTACATGGGCTCTACAAGGACACATCCATTTCTGCCTCTGCTTATTTAAGGAACCACCCAGGGAAACTCCTTGGTGTGACCCGCTGAGCTGAGAACTAGGAGTAAATAGAACTGTCTCCTCTATTTTCTCCTCTGAAGATACACATCTCCTGCTGCCTCAGATACTGCATTTATTCATCAGTGGAAATCCTAATCCCCTGCTGTCTTGCTGGCTTTCTCATTTGCAGCCAACATATGGGCTCATCAGCACTGGTGCCCCCCAAGAGCAGCCCTTTAAGGGCTCAGAATCATACAAAATTGGAGGCTTTTCTTGGGATAAAGAACTGGAGGAAAACCCTTTGCCCCATTTGGCTTTGGGGATCAGATTTCAAAGTCTTAACCTTACTGGGATGGGCACAGCTCCAGAAAGTGTCTGGTGAGTGAGTAAGTCACTTTCCTCCTGGGCTTGCTTTTCTCCAGGGCACCTCAGGGTTATTGATGACACATCTCCAGAATTGCTGAATGTTAAATTGGAGAACGTGGGTTTTCTAAAGGACACTTACAACCCTAGTAACCCTGCTGTGTTCTCTGCCAGTGGAAAAACTATCCCATAATTCCAGGTCTCTGATTCTGCCATGCTAAGAGTACCGTGAGAGAAAGAATCTTTCTTCCTTTACAAAACCTGCTACTACCAAAGTGAAAGGATAATCTCTGGAAGAAAAACAAAGTCACTAGAAACTTATGTATGGACTGGAGAGTACTTCCCAAGGGCAGGTTTCTGGGTGGTGATCTGTCCCAACCACCTCATGGCCTAACTGGAAGCCCTCTAGTCTCCCCATGTGGTCCTTGAAGGACAGGCATAGAAGAAAAGGTGAGCAGGAAGGTTAACAAATGCTCATCAAGCGGTGCCTGAGTGGCTCAATTGGTTGAGCATCCAACTCTCAGTTTCGGCTCAGGTCATGATTTCATGCACTATCAGTACAGAGCCTACTTGGGATTCTCTCTCTGTCCCTCTCTCTCTCTGCCTTTCCCCCACTTATATTGTCTCTGTCTCTCTCAAAATAAATAAATACACTTAAAAAAAAAAACAATTGCTCATAAGTGTCAATAAGTCTCAGAGTATAGAATTGGCATGGTTCAGTTTTTATTCAAAAATATATATTGAGGTAGAACACACTTTACACACTGTATGTTAGCCAATTTGACAATCATTTATATTAAAATATAAATATATATACATTGAGTGTCTACTATGTGTCAGACACTATGCCAAGAGCCAAGGTTCAAGGCAAATGATATAAGCTCTCTGCCATTTTGATTTTTTTTTCAACGTTTTTTATTTATTTTTGGGACAGAGAGAGACAGAGCATGAACGGGGGAGGGGCAGAGAGAGAGGGAGACACAGAATCGGAAACAGGCTCCAGGCTCTGAGCCATCAGCCCGGAGCCCGACGCGGGGCTCGAACTCACGGACCGCGAGATCGTGACCTGGCTGAAGTCGGACGCTCAACCGACTGAGCCACCCAGGCGCCCCAACTCTCTGCCATTTTGGAGTTCACACTGTAGCAAGGGCTTACGGCCTAACAGAGGAACCAGACCAGACACACATGGGAGCAAGAGAAGTACTTGGTGGTAGCGATTACGGGAGGGTTCCAGGATCAAAGCATGGATTGGGATTAGAACCTTGAGATTTCAGGATGAGTTGGTAGATGGGAGCCTGGCAAACTTTTTAAAGGAATTGAGCTGAGACTAAATATGGAAAAGTTTATTTATTTACATCTCAAAGTCCCAAGTCAGTAACAGAAGCAGAATTACAACTCAGAAGAGCCCCAGCTTGCCTCTCCGCTGCTCTGCTTGGCAGCTGCTTCATTCAGTGCCACACAGCTGGGTAAGTGAGTCGCAGATGGAATAGTGGCAGCCAAAATCTTTTTAGAGACAAATGACACTGTGATTTTCCTTGACACCCATTGAAATTCCTCACTAATTTCCAAAAATATCTTATGTTTGCTTTAACACAACCAGTGGGGCTCAGACATTTCAGTGAAAACACATCAGAGAAACAAAGTAATCCCATCCGTCTGAGCATTCTGATCCCAAAGCAGCCAGACCAAGAACCACTTACTTACTGAAGGCCGTCCTGGGACCCCAGGCAGCTGAGGTCCTGGCCAAGGGACATAGAAAGGGCATTTTCTCTCTTTTTACTCACCTCCATTCTTGTTCTTCAGTTGCTTGTCCAACCAGCTGGTGCCAGGGCAGAGAAACAAAAGAGCAAAGACGGCAACTAGAAACAGGGCAAACAGCTGATAACTGCCGTGCCTGAACAGAGATAAATCGTGGGCGCACACCAGAGTCTGACTTTGTTGTCACTAAAGCTTTATGTGGGAAGTTTGAGGGTAATGAGTATGAGATAAAGCAAGCAAAGAACTTTCCTTCACTAAATTTCTCTCTTTTTTCTCCCAAAGAACTCAAAGGGAGTAGGGAAAGAGTGGATGTGTTCTCAAATCAAAGGCAAAGTAGATTCCTGAAACTTCCAATTAGAGATAAAATCAGAAATTCTGGCACTCTCTCCCACTAATATTCCAGTGATCCTCTGGATAGATGTTTGATACTAAAGACCCAGAGTGGCAGTGGCCATCAAAGAGAAGGGCACTGAGCTGGAGTGTGTAGGACCCAGTGTGGGTTGATTTGATCTGACCCTGGGGTCTTTTTGCTTCTTCAAGTCTTCCTATTCTTTCTTCATGCCAGATGGACAAAAAAAGACTGTGTCTCTAGCCCCTATGGGCGTCCATTGTGTTGCCAGAGACTCCTTTGCCAAAGGGTGTAGAAGTTAGTGACATTGCCCATTCATCTCTGACACAGCTACATTCAGGTCATCATTCACCTGCCCAGAGTCCTACAGACAGCCTAACAGAGCTGGGCCAACACCTCCTTCCCTCAGCAGAACATTGTGTGCCACACCTGAAATGACAAGTTCTGTATCTCCCTTGGTGATGATGGCTCGGGTAGGGAGTTATGACTAGGTCACTAACCCACCCATGGCAAAGCAAAAGAGATGTGGCAAAGAACCGACATCTAGTGGGCATTCCACTGTGTGCCAGGCACAGGGGTAAGTGCTACTTCACATGTGTTCTCTCATTTCAACCTCACAACATCCCTGCATGGTAACTACAATGACCCTATGTGCAGAAGAGGAAATCAAGACTTAGGGATGACACTTGCCCAGCTACTGCTAAATTGCAAAGGAAGATTCAAAACCCAGAGCCATTAGATCTGCACAGCCAGTGCCCCTTTTGCACATAGATGATGCGGGTAGTGATACCACCTAGCCACCCAGGGGTGATATCAGAATGTTCGCTTCTACAATTACAAACAAGGTCTAGCCAGGTGGGAGATATCCTGCTGTTGCAGAGGGCCTGCCTCTCCCTACACCTACGACAATATGTAGAAGACCTACTTCCCAGGTTTTGGCCTGGGTTGCTGGCAAATCCTTTCCCAATCCCATCCTTCACTAGATGAGCAGCTCAGAATGCTCCTTGAGAGTCAGGAAACTCCAGACAGAAATCCTACTTAGACTGTTGAATCTCTGCTAAGCTCCTAATATTGACAAGCTCTGTGCTGGGCACTGAGAAAGCGAATATAAATAAGATACAGTCACTGTTCTAATGAATCTTAAAGCCCAGTGCAGAAAACAAATTATCGGATAATTGTAATAGGGGTGATAAGCGCCATGACCCAACAAGCTCAGGGAACCCAGGGTATGTTTCCCTCGAGTTGGGGTGGGGGAAGGAGGAGGAAGTTCTGGTTTTTCCAGGAAGGAGAAGCTAGTGCAAAAACTGGTACTATAAAGACTATGATACATCTTTGAATCTGCACGTATTTTTGTGCAGCTGAAATACTGAGTGCAAGTGGCCAAAAGTGAAACTGGAGGAAAAAAGCAGATCAGGAGATAATTATGGCCATAACATAGGATTTTCATACTTCCCTAAAGGCCAAGGGAAACTACTGAAGGAGTTTCAGCAGAGGTGTGACCTGATCCCCCCTGGTCTGAAGAAAAATCTGTATGATGGCTGCTTGGAGAACGGATGAAAATGGGGAGAGTCTGGAAGCAGGAAGAAGACGTCTTGGAATAGTATAGCAACAGCCTGCAACATGTGAAGAAGGCTCGGACGGAAGCAGGGGCGGCAGAGGCCAAAGGAAAAGGGACCGGCAAAGGAATGACAAGGAGGGAGAATAACCATGCCCTGCAGAATGCCCTCTCCCCTGGGAATGCCCTCCAGAGGCAGAGGCTGACAACACCCTACTCAACTCTCGCAGCTTTGTTCAGGGTGGAATCTTCTTCGTGTCCCAGGCAGAGACAGTTCCTTCCTCCCCGCTCCTGGAGCACTTTGTGCCAACCTCTTCCATAGCACTTAACACTCCTTCGTAATTGCTCTATGTCTGCTTCCCCCCAAAGACTGAGTGTTTTGAAGACAGAAGCCATGTCCTGTTCACCTCCTCTTCTCCCAAATGGTGTCTGGCCTACAACAGGTAATTCACCTGAGTTTGTTGGATAAACAGCCCAACCTGTGACCTTGTAGGGCTGTCACACCTCTCTGTGAGGAAGTGACTAACACCCAGACACCTTTATAACTGACAAAGCTTCTCCCAGGCAGGCAGTGGCTGATCAGGGACAGCCAGGGAGCACCAGCATACTGAAGAGCCTCCCCCATGAAGCCATGCTGTGGACCTGTGCCCTCTTCTACTTCACCCTCTCCTGTGCAGGTAAGGACAAGCCACTGGGCCTTTCACTCTTAGGGAAATGTGCTGCAGGAATGATTTGCGGGGCGGGGGGTAGGGGGGGCGGTCTTCGGGGAGGGCCATTGCTGAGCTTGGCTCCATCCCGTTGGAACAGAGGGAGATCTCCATAGCCTCTCCACCTGGGCTTTCCCTTTCAGGGGTCTCATTGGATATCGTTTTGAAACCAGACACCGAAACCGTGACTGTTCTAGTTGGGGAGCCTGCCACCTTCCGATGCAGCATAACGGGAGGGGACTGGAAAAATTATCAAGTGAGCTGGTATAAGAAGAATGAAGATAACTCCCTGACTTTAGTATACAGACTAAGCAACAGTTCTAATGCCAATATAAGCAGTAATTTCAAAGGAAATATCGATGTTTTAAAGGGCCAATGTATACTTGACATTCAAAGAGCAACAATAAAAGACACTGGGACCTACTACTGTGCGTCCGATATCCACGGTGCTACAGCCCTGCAAGCTGGTCTCCTCAGAACCCTTGAGTCAAACCAAGGGGGGCAGATCCAATGAGAAGACCACCTGTAGCTAAAATGTGCACCACACTGAGGTGAGACCACCTGATAATCTCAACAGTAACATCTGATAAGAGAGACAAGAGCTAAGTTGGGGCAAGGGCCTTATCTTTGTGGTTGGTTGAGAGGGGGCTTAGATATCAGTCAAAGAGGGCAGAAAATCTCATTAGGGTTTATGCAAAGCAACCAAGGGGGCCCTGCACCTGACTCTCAGGGACTTCTGAGAAGAGGTTGAAAAAAAAACAATCTTCAATGCTGAGAAGGTTTTCTTATTGTGGGGGCAGGCTGAGATGAACAGAATTTCTACTATCATGAGTGTTGTAGCTCATTCCAGAGTCTTTATTGTGAAAGCATTCGTGTGCATAAACTAGATAAAGCAAGGATGGTTTTCCATTACCATCCTAATCAAAATTTCCAAAGCTATTAGAGATAGCTTTAACTCTTACTCTGTGAAGAAGGATGAATAGAGTCATTTTCTGAAATGCTCCCTAACTATTTCAGATATTGAATGTTTTATATCATCCCTTAGTCACGGAGGAGTTCAGGGGCAGGAAGGGCATGGGGATGGGTAGGGAGGGATAACACAATGTTAGTTGCTGAGTGAGATCTTGGAGACTAATATTTGTGGCAGTGTGGGATCTGTGAGTTGGTCATGGATCAAGTGAATCAAAAAAAAAAAAAAAAAAATCCCAAGTCCCAAGTTGAAATGGATAAGCCAAAAGTGTCAGAGACTACAGGAAGCCAAGTCCTGGAGGAACCCACTGAGTAGACCAACAGGCAGGAGGACTTACAGATACAAATATTTAATAATCGTTTAGGGAGTGCTTTCACTCTGTTGGCTCTAGTAGCCAACTGTTTGTTTTTCTGCTCAACTGACTAGTCTGGAATTCTCTCTCAACATTAAATTACAACCCAGGCATTATGATGCAAAGTAGACATTGAGTTTGTGAGAACAACAGCTCTCCTGATACCTTCTATTCAATATTCCTTCCAATGCACTATCATCTTCCTCACACATTTATTTATAGGGCGATTATTGTACTTATGATATTAGGATAGCTCATGGGAATAGAAATACCTGTAAGTCAAGTTCTAGCCTAAGTTCTAGTCTCCTTAATGTGTCTACAATTTATTTTAAAGACAGCATTAGAATTACAATTAAAGATTACAGACGAATACAAAAATACAAGAAAGCACATACTACCTAACAATGAGTGCACTGGCTTCATATGCAGTGCTCTAGGAGCTCATGGACAATCACTATGAGCAAAGTTTCTTGGAATAGCTGAGGCTTGAAAGAGGCGGGACTTGGGTAAGTGGAAAGGAAGGGGAGGGATATTTCAAGGTGGGTGTACTAGTTATTTATTGTTACATAACAATTACCACAAAATTTAGAGGCTCAAACATTTATTATCTCATAGTTCCTGTAAGTCAAGAATCCAGGTGTGGCTTTGCAGGGTCCTTTGGCTCAGGGTCTCTCATCAGTCAAGGGATCAGCTGGGGCAACAGTCATTAAGCACTGACTGAAAAAGGATCCACTTCCGGGGCGCCTGGGTGGCTCAGTCGGTTAAGCGGCCGACTTCGGCTCAGGTCATGATCTCACGGTCTGTGAGTTCGAGCCCCGCGTTGGGCTCTGTGCTGACAGCTCGGAGCCTGGAGCCTGTTTCAGATTCTGTGTCTCCCTCTCTCTGACCCTCCCCCGTTCATGCTCTGTCTCTCTCTGTCTCAAAAATAAATAAATGTTAAAAAAAATTTTTTTTAAAAAAAAAAGAAGAAAAAGGATCCACTTCCAAATTCACTCAAGTGGATGTTTGTGATCCTTATGTGAGCATTTCTGTACAGATCCTCATAACATAGCAGCTTCCTTCCCTAGAGCAAGGACTTCGAAAGGCTTCCCAGATAGAAGACATCATCTTTTTGTAACCTAATCTTAGCAGTGACATCTCATTGCTCCTGCCACTTTTTATTCTATAGAAGTGAGTCAATATGGCACAAAAACAGACACACAGACCAGTGAAATAGAATAGAAACCCCAGAACTAGACCCACAAACGTATGGCCAACTCATCTTTGACAAAGCAGGAAAGAACATCCAATGGAAAAAAGACAGTCTCTTTAACAAATGGTGCTGGGAGAACTGGACAGCAACATGCAGAAGGTTGAAACTAGACCACTTTCTCACACCATTCACAAAAATAAACTCAAAATGGATAAAGGACCTGAATGTGAGACAGGAAACCATCAAAACCTTAGAGGAGAAAGCAGGAAAAGACCTCTCTGACCTCAGCCGTAGCAATCTCTTACTCGACACATCCCCAAAGGCAAGGGAATTAAAAGCAAAAGTGAATTCCTGGGACCTTATGAAGATGGAAAGCTTCTGCACAGCAAAGGAAACAACCAACAAAACTAAAAGGCAACCAACAGAATGGGAAAAGATATTTGCAAATGACATATCGGACAAAGGGCTAGTATCCAAAATCTATAAAGAGCTCACCAAACTCCACACCCGAAAAACAAATAATCCAGTGAAGAAATGGGCAGAAAACATGAATAGACATTTCTCTAAAGAAGACATCCAGATGGCCAACAGGCACATGAAAAGATGTTCAAAGTCGCTCCTTATCAGGGAAACACAAATCAAAACCACACTCAGATATCACCTCACGCCAGTCAGAGTGGCCAAAATGAACAAATCAGGAGACTATAGATGCTGGAGAGGATGTGGAGAAACGGGAACCCTCTTGCACTGTTGGTGGGAATGCAAATTGGTGCAGCTGCTCTGGAAAGTAGTGTGGAGGTTCCTCAGAAAATTAAAAATAGACCTACCCTATGACCCAGCACTGCTAGGAATAGCACTGCTAGGAATTTACCCAAGGGATACAGGAGTGCTGATGCATAGGGGCACTTGTACCCCAATATTTATAGCAGCACTCTCAACAACAGCCAAATTATGGAAACAGCCTAAATGTCCATCAACTGATGAATGGATAAAGAAATTGTGGTTTATATACACAATGGAATACTACGTGGCAATGAGAAATAATGAAATATGGCTTTTTGTAGCAACATGGATGGAACTGGAGAGTGTGATGCTAAGTGAAATAAGCCGTACAGAGAAAGATAGATACCATATGGTTTCACTCTTATGTGGATCTTGAGAAACTTAACAGAATCCCATGGGGGAGGGGAAGGAAAAAAAAAAAAAAAGAGGTTAGAGTGAGAGAGAGCCAAAGCGTAAGAGACTATTAAAACCTGAGAACAAACTGAGGGTTGATGGGGGGTGGGAGGGAGGGGAGGGTGGGTGATGGGTATTGAGGAGGGCACCTTTTGGGATGAGCACTGGGTGTTGTATGGAAACCAATTTGACAATAAATTTCATATATTGAAAAAAAAAATAAATGTGTTAAGTCACAAAAAAAAAAAAAAAGGAAGTGAGTCAATAAGTGCAGCTCACACTCAAGGGGAGGAGGTGATTACACAAGAATATGAACACCAGGGATTAGAGATCATTGGGGGCCATCTTAGAAGCTGCCTACCACAGGAGATTAACACAGTAGAACAGAGAAAGACAGGGCTTCAAAAATCTGGTTGAGACCAACTTGTTTAGAGACCTCTGACCTACAAGGCTAAAGAGATTTGATTTGTTTTTTTTTTTTTAATTTTTTTTTAATGTTTATTTATTTTTGAGACAGAGAGACACAGACCATGAATGGGGGAGGGGCAGAGAGAGAGGGAGACACAGAGTCAGAAGCAGGCTCCAGGCTCTGAGCCATCAGCCCAGAGCCCGACGCGGGGCTCGAACTCATGAACCGTGAGATCGTAACCTGAGCCGAAGTCGGACGCTCAACCGACTGAGCCACCCAGGCGCCCCAGATTTGATTTGATTTTATAAGCCAGTATTTCTCAAACTTCATTGTGCATGCGAAGCACCTGGAGAGATTGTTCCTATTTATACTTTTGAGTCCCAGCTACAAACATTATGTTTCAGTCTATCTGGGGGCAGGCCTGGGAACTTGCATTTATAATAAGTGCCCAGGTGACTCTGATGCAAGTGGTTCAAGGACATGCTTTGAGAAATTCTGCTGTAAGCAACAAAACTATTAGTTTAGTACAGGGAAGATGTGGCCAGGTTCTCCTGCCCTCACTACAGAGAAATGGACATTAGATGTGGTCAAGGCATCTCTTGAACAATGGGTCTCAATTCCAACTGCATATTTTAATCACCTGGGGGAAGTTCTTTAAAAATACAAAGGTCTGGAACACATCTCCAGAGATTTTGATTGAAGTGATGTGGGCATGGAACTCTGGTTTCCCAGGTAATTCAACCTCCATGCCTTGCCTTCTCCCCCCTCTCCAGTCTAAGACATTGCTATTTCAAGTGTGGTCTCTGGCTAGACAGCATCAGCATCACTTGGAATGTTGCCAGAATGAAGAATCTCATGCACTGCCCTTGAACTAGTGAATCAAAATCTGCATCTTAACAAAATTCCCTGGGTAAGTTATATGCATATTAAAGTTCGAGAAGCACAAGTCCAGGGAAGTCATCACCACTGAAAAATTTCACAGAGGTGGAGAAATATAAATCTGGTTTTCCCCAATGCCACCCAAAAAATCCGTATTTGTAAAAAGCTCCTGAGGGAGGCTGATGTGCAGCCAGGTGTGCGACTCACAACAAGTAATCAGTCATCCCCAAACCAGGTTACAGATTATTTGTGTTACCAATATAATAAATAATCTCTTTGAGTCATTGAGGTGCTACCGTGTCCTTGTATGTTCCTTGGAAGAAGGCTTTATATAAATTCCAGGTATGATCATTTCTCATTCATCCACAAGCAGATTAGGAAATGAATTAATATTTATTGAGTCAATGTACTTTTTACCACACCATGTGACCTTCATAGATTATCCACTGTAACCCAGAACCTTGTGCCACATAACTTCAATTCAAGATCAAGCCAGAAAAAAAGAACATGAATCATTAGTGTCTGATTAAGTCTGACTGGGAAGAAAAGGGATAAGAGTGAGAGCGTGTGTATCTAATTGTCCATTCCTCCTTCAGGACAGATGAGAATGTGAAGTTCTGATTCAGGTTGGGGTGAGGCAACTCAGAACCTAAAATGGGCATTGGGTGAGCATAAAACACAGAGCCTGGAGCCAAGGAAGAAGAAAGCAAGCAGAGTGCCCAACAGTGATCTGAGAGAGGCTGGGCACAAAACAGGGAAAAAGGAAACCACATGAATTAAAATTAGAGACCTAGAGAAATTCCCTGAGCTTACCAAAAGGTAATTGAGAAAACCTTTTATATAGGGGCACCTGGGTGGCTCAGTTGGTTAAGTGTCCTACTTCAGCTCAGGTCATGATCTCAGGGTTCATGAGTTCCAGCCCCGCATTGGGATCTGTGTTGACAATGCAGAGCCTGCTTCGGATTCTTTCTCTCTTCTCTCTCTGTCCCTTCCCCACTTGTGCTTTCTCTCTCTCTCTCTCTCTCTCTCTCTCTCTCTCTCTCGCTCTCTCTCAATAAATAAATAAACTTAAAAAAAAGAAAATCTTTTATATATTACCTGGAGCTCCAGACTAAGGTGGAGATAGGGCCACCAAAGGCCCTAGCATACTATAAACATGAACCAAGTGTTTCTGCAAAACTTCCAAAGCCAAATGAGTGACAAGAATGTCAATTGATATTTCTATATTGTCTATGTTCTTCCCTACTGCACTGGTAAAGGCAATTGAGAGTTGACTAAAGTCATACTATTGTTGTCCCCATTATCCTGCTTTCTGTGACTCTTATCTATCATAAAAAGTGCTCACTTGAAAGAATTCAGAGCAATGAAGAGATATCTCAGAGTGTGTCTGCCCAGGCTCTAAAAAATCTTTGAGTTCAACTGTCAGGGCACAGTAATAGGCATGCCACTTTCACCAAGCTCCCAAACAAAGGAGTCCTTAGGCATCCTCTGTCCCTAGAAATGGAAGATGTAATTGCTCACAGGTAGCCAAAAGGCAGTAGCTTGTGTCCATCCGGTAGCACAGTGCTATCAATTGGCTGAACTTACAAACAGGCCATCCAACATCATGGAACCATGGAGTAACTGGCAAGAGAAAACAAGGGAATTTCCTCTGTGTCAGAGGAGGCCACAGCCAGCCAAGGAAGAGAATGTGATTCCTACATTATATATTTTATTTTCTGAAGGGGTCACAACCTGGAAGAAATTACTCATTACAGCATCCTGCAAGTGCCCAGGGAACATCCAGGTAGGGTCCAAGTAAGGAAATGGACTAAGGTAATCCAGGTTGTGACCTCATTCTGAACAATTAAGGCTTTAACCAGAAAATTAGAATCATTGAATTTGAAAGCCAAAAGGGATCTTAGAGGCCAAGCAAGAATCCTTCCATTAAATGTATATGTACATTAAATATCAATTGAATAAATGATCATCCAAACTCAATTAAAATATTTTCAGTGACAGTTCTTATTTTAAAAAATCACTTTTTGGGAGTTGGTAGTAAAGGTAGTAAAGCCACCCAGGTGGCTCAGTCAGTGGAGTGTCCGACTCTTGATCTCAGGTCTTGATCTCAGGGTGATGAGTTCAAGTCCCATGTTGGGCATGGAGCCTACTTGAAAAAAAAAAATCACTTCTTCTACCAAATTGAGGTCTGCTTCCCTATAACTTTTCTTAAAATATAATTAACATACATTGTTATCTTAGTTTATGGTGTACAACATATTGATTTGACAACTCTATACATTATTCAGTGCTTGCCATGGTAAGTGTAGTCATCATCACAGAAGGGGGCTGAGTGGACAGATGGAAGAAATAGATAAAGGACATTAAAGGATACAAACTTCCAATTATAAAATAATTAAGTCACAGAGATCCTTCCTTATAACTTTATATGTTGGTATTTTTTGTGCATTCTGAAACAACATAGACTAAGTTCTATCTTTATATTTTCAAATATTTGAAGACAGCTATCATATCCAACCTCTCAAGCCCTCATTTCTCTATACCCAATACTCAGCCATTCCTCATGACTGTCTCATAAGTTTTAAGGTCCTCAAGAGGAGATTCCAAGTTTAGTATATTTTTCTGTTCCACACAATTCTCAATATTGTAACTCTCATGTGGTGGGTAGTCAGTAAATATGAGTGAATGTATGATGTGCCCAGTGACTGTTCAATATGTTCACTTAAAAGTCTTAAACTCATTTTAACTCAACTCCAAGACCAAAATCAAGATCTTCCTTCTAAATATGGTCCTTTCCTGAGGTTGCCTATCTCAGTGAATAACACTGCCATCTCCAGTCCAGACACGTCTCTCCATCCTTTACTACCAACTCCTTGTCCAAACTTCCATTTTCTCCTTTGAATTATTTCATCAGTCTGAATGAGATAGCTGGTCTCTCGGACCTTCCAATATGTCCTCCCCACAGCAGCCAGAGTAATTTCTTCAACATATAAATGTGATTATGTTATACCTCTGATTAAAAATCCTTCAATGACAGGGGCACCTAGGTGGCTCAGTCAGTTGAGCGTCTGACTTTGGTTCAGGTCATGATCTCATCGTTCATGAATTTGAGCCCCACATTGGGCTCGCTGCTGTCAGTGCGTAGCCTGCTTCAGATCCCCTGTACCTCCTTCTCTCTGCCACTCCCCCACTCGAGTTCTCTCTCAAAAATGAATAAATATTTATTTTAAAAAATTATTCAATGACTTCCCATTGCTTACAGGTAAAAGACCAATCAAAATCCCCAAGCTGGCCTCTACAACCCTGCACAGTCTGACCCCTTCTCACCTACACTTCCAATACTTCCTACCCTCGCTCTTCATTTTCCCTGCTCCTGTCAAACAGATGACCTTTCAGCTGATGAAACGCACAGGTACCTCCCACCTTTGCACATTATATTACTCCATCCTTGGGGAACATTTCTCCTATCTCTTCATCACCTGTTTTACTCCTATTCATCTTTTGAATCAAAATTTGCACATCAATTCCTCAGAGATGTCTTGAAATCTCCCAACAAGTTCAGATTTGGGGGGGGGGGGGTTAAAATATGCTTTCATATATCAGTTTGTAATATTATTTCATTAATTTGATTAATGTCTATTTTTCTAGCTTGTAAGCTCTGAAAGATCAAGGACTATATCTGCTTTTGCTTATCGTTGAATCTGACAAATTGCATAAATGTGTTTGTATGAACAAATGACTCTGAGATCTTAAGATTTTCCAGAGTTTGGTGCTCATCACTAAGTTCCCAAGTCTCACCATATTTTCACTTTTCAGTGGTCTTGAAGACCCTAGAATTACTCTGAGCTACAGTCCAGAGGTTCTCAGAGACCAAGGATTTCCACGCATTTGGGGGCGCACAGGAAAAGTGAGAGGTCAGAGGATCCTGCATATTTTTGAGCCAGTTACCAAGAAGAGATTTGGGACAGGTAAGCAAAACCCACCCAGAAAGAGTGGCCAGCTAGGAGGAAATTAGAGGAGCCAATATGATTATTATTTTCTCAGTGACTCTTGGCTTGGCTTATGATAAGCCCTTCTGGTGTTTTGGATTTTGTATGGATATTTTCAGTAGCTATATTATTAAAACACACAAGTCTATAATTATGGGCATGCATATCCTCATCCCTCAAATATGTACTGAGCATGCACAATGTTCCTGGTTCTACGCCACATGCTGAGTTACAAAAACCACCAAAGCTCAATTCCTGTCCTCAAGGTGCTCTTTACAGTGGGAGAAACAGACATGAAAATAGGGACTTATTTACAGAGGAAGGAGCAAACATCTGTGAGAAGGTAAAGAAGAAAGTGATGGCCTAAAGCTGGGAAAGGCTTCTCAGAGGAGGTGATATGAGCTCATCACAGAAAAAAACACTTGCTTCCCTGAGGTAGCATATGCTTGGAGATTTTTTAAGATGACCCAGGAAGAAAAATGAGCATTCTCAACAGTTACACACATACACACACACAGAGAGAGAGAGAGAGATAGCCCCTCACCTATCATCTTCTCAATTTAAGTAAAGAAATAAACAAACTGAAAGCTGATGGGAAAATATTGAACCTGGACCAGACGTAAGTGTGAGGAAGCTAATGTCACAGGGGCTCCTAAACCATAGATGTCCCAAATTCCCTGCCTACTAAAGGTGAGAGATTTCCAAAATGCTATTGTACACACCAAAAAACAGATCAGCTAAAGGGTAGCAGTATGGATAAAAAAATTTTTTAAATAAAAAAAAATAAGAAGAAGAGGAAGGGACAGGGAAGAGGAACATTGTTTCCTTAGATAATGATCACTCCCTTTACCTTTTTGTTCTTATTCAAGAGCCCTCCCAAACCTGGGATGTCCCAGAATTTGGTGCTACTGGGCAGCTGGCCTCCTCCTCATCCCACTGATGACAACTGTGAGGAAATCTGGGAGACTATTAAAAAAATAATATTCTCTACAAGGAGGCAAATAATACCAGTAGGACTGGCCATGAATGTCCACTTCTGTGTGTTCATGGATATCATTCGGTTTGAAATACTGAGATTTCTTCTCACATATGCCAGCACATTAGAGCCTACACTAAATCTATAAATCTTTATCTAGGTTGATTGAGTTTTTCAATTCATGGAGTTGTTTTTAGGCAGAACAAGAATTCAACTTTTCTCCTGTAAAATATAAAAAATTCAGCTACAAATGGAGCTATTCTGTTTTCTGCTTCTCCTCTGGAGTTGTCTCTCTTCTGGAAGCTCTGGAAAAGAAATAGCTGTCACATTCATAACAGCCTTACATACTTCCTTCTCTGTATTAGTCAACTCTGCTGTGGTAACAAATAGCACCAATATCTCAGTAGCTTACGCAATGATCATTTACTTTTTGCTCCTGCTTTTACTGCAGATTGGTGGCTATGAGGTGGCGACTAAGCTCTGCTCCCTGTGTCCTCCCATTCCAGAATCCAGAGTAAAAGATAATTCACTATTTGGGACACACTGTTTTCATGACAGAGGAAAAAGAGCAAGAGAGCTGCTGACAGAAACTCCAGATGCTCCTTAAAGCTTCTGCTCAGTCATGGCACACACCATGTCCACTCACATTCATTACCCAAAGCCCTTCCATGGTCAAGCCCAGAATCAAGTGGGCAGGGACTCACCCCCCATCCCCCACAGAAGCTACTGAAAGACACACAGCAACAGGCAGGAATTGATAATCTTCTCATATAGAAGGGGGAATCAATTATTTCAGAACAATAATACAACTTACCATTCCTTTAGACTCCACCCATGTAACTTATATCCAGTATAGGGATTTTCTCCCCACGTCAACTAAAAAGAAATGTGATATGATTTTTTTTTTTTTGCCCTCTTAGGATTGTTATTAAGCCCTGTGCAACATTTGCCAAATCATTCTTCAGAATATTACTGTCCCCTGAGATGTTAACAGTTATTAAGCAACTAAAAAGGATTCCCTGGTCAAATAAGTTTGGAAAATGTTCTATGTTAATAGCCCTCTCGTAATACTCACAATTCTGTATTATCAGATTAAATGTTCTCGATGATGCCTGCTGTAGAGATAGCTACTTAACCCAAGATTGGGATCATAGATTTCTTTCCAGAATGGCAGAATCATTAATATCTCATGAGATTCCAGTGACTAACATTGCCCTAAAGGATTACAGGAGAACCACCCGGATGGATTCTTGTTGCTTCTTCATTTCTGTGCATCCAGACTGAAGGACACTGAATGATGTTAAGAGGAGGTATGCATGAAGCCAACACATCTGTACAGGACTCCTAAAGAAGGCTTGTGTTTTTGGCTAAGATCAAACCCTGTGTGAGAAACTTGAAAATGCTGATTTGGATACTACTCTTTGCCTACTGAATTAAGTATAAACACATTAGACTGGCTTTTATGTCTTCCTTCCTTTATGCAACTAATATATTTTGAGTACCCCTCTGTCCCAAGTACAATGCCAGACATTAAGTGCACAGTGTGAACACAATAAACATGGGCCCTGTCCTCATGGATTTGCCAGTTTAAGAAGAAACAAACATAAAACACACATGAGAATAGATAGTTGATGATCATACAACCTCTCAGCAGTGTACCACCCACTCCTTCTTGCAATGCCTTCCACACTTACTTTCTGAAATGCCACACTTTGCTGATTTTCCTCTAGGGTCACTGGCCTCTCCTTCCCAGTCTCCTTAGCTGACTCTTCCTCCCCTGACTAGCTTCTAAACATAGGGCACCCAGGGCCCTTGCTTGGGTCCTTCTTCCCTTCTATATCTCTCCCCCAGTGATCTCATTCATGCCTATGGCATTAAATTCCACATTTATGATTCCCAAATTTATGTCTCTGATATGAACCTCGCCTCTGAGGACATAGTCTCCCCCAGCTGAACCACCTTGGCACTTACCTGTCTGGAGTCATTTCATTGTTCTCTCTCTTTTCCAAGATTGTTTGGATATTTCCTTTATGCTCCTCCTAATTTATATACTCCTCGAGGACAGGGATCCATGGTCTGTTTCATCTTCAGTTTCCACAGTGTGTTGCATAGTAAGTGTTTAATATCTGATTATTGAATTTAATGTTTGAACTGAATTTCTGCTTTAGGGATCACTGAGACACAGTTGTAATGAAAGGGAATATTTTATTTCAAGAAATAATGCCTCACCTTTCTGTATTTCCAAATGAACAACCTCAGATGAGAGAACATAGCTACATACATTGGCATGAGGTGAATACTTAAATTCAAAAATGCTAAATCGAGCCAGTATCATCCCTTGTGGTCACAGAAATTGCCGCGAAGGCTTTATAAATTGCTTGCACTCCCGCACCCCATCTGGCATTGCTGGTATCTTACAGCCATGGATGACTAATTCTTCTCAATAGTCCCCCACTTGAATCTACTCCCTACTTTAACACGAAATGGTAAGAAAAAACAGCGAGGGCTAGCCTGAAACCCTCCCACCCAACCAGAGCAGAGATTCCACCGTGTAACACTGACTCCTCAATTTAGGAGTCAGACCCAAAGAGGAGGTCAAAGAGGAGGACCCCCTTCATTGCAGAAAGGTGTTTCACCAGCAGCGCTAATGAGAACATGTGGCACCTGCACCTCTGGGGCTTCATCTGAATGTTGATCCAGTTTTTTCCAAGCCTCTCTCTCCCAGGCCCCTTCTACCAGTCAAAGGCAGCCCAGTTTTATACACATTAGAAAAAAGCAGACCGATGGAAACTGAGCATTCTCTAGAGAAAAGCTAAGAACTCTTTTAGACTTGATGATCAGCCCAAGTGAGTCAGGGGTCCCCGATGACCACACAGGGAGGCCCCAATCGTAATGTGGACACGGCCCCATGGCCCCACAGCACAGCTCCTTTGTGTGTGTACAGAGAGGCTGCTATTTCTCATCTTGGCGGCCCTAAATAAGAGTTTGTCTTTGGCCTTCACATGCTTGAAACTTAGGATTTAGTCTATCAAAATAAGAGGAAAATTGTGCAGATTACATCTTTTCTGCAAAAATAAGCATTTTTCCATCACTGTAGCTTTTTTTTTTTTTTTCCCCGTAGCATTTCAAATTGTCTTCTTTTTCTGGAGGTATCCCCTCTCCATCACACTTCCCTAGATAAACATATATTTATCATTAACAAGGGGTGGAATGCCTTTAGGATTTCCACTGAGAGTTTGGAATGCTGTCCAGCCTGGTCCCCAACCATGTTGTGAGTCAACACAAACACAGCAGATTGTGAATAGAGGCTACAGTTCTCTCCCTAGCATGCTGCAGCTGTGACCCTCGGCTCAGCCTCTGGGTCACCCATCTGGAACTTGAGCTGGTACTTTTACAAAATAAAGTATTCTGACAGAGAGAGATCATTATCAGTTGAGTCTTGCAAAAAAAAAAAATCTTCTTCCCCTGTTCTCTTCTAGTCTGTCTTCCTGGCATGTGCCATTCCCTATGCACCTTTTGTTATCCTACATCCCTGATTTCTCACCACAGCCTGGACACTGCCGTCAGTTTAGATTGATACTGTGTGCTTTGTCAGGTACCGTGATTTCACTTGCAATAGTATAGCCATTTGATAGATGCAGGTTGTTCATCAGGCTGCACATAGTATTTCCTTTGCCCTCCTTTGGTAACTTCCCAAGTTCACACAGTCGCTACTCAGTCATGCCCATGTGCCAACTCTCAGACTACTTGGCAATTAAAGCCCTGCCAACCGAATAGCTTTTCTACTCAATAATCTTTTCTTTCACTCGTACTAAGCATTCATTATGTAGCTCAGTGTTAACAGCGTTTTAGTTTGTCACATCCATGATGTGTGTAACAGCCCCTGCATTCCAAACCAGCTCTAACACATCAGTACCACAGTGATCATAGAACAACCACTCTTTACTATGATAAGCCATGGTGAATGTGATCAGTAATATTGTATTTACCTCCATCTTTGCCCCTCTACTCTTCCCCACTTTCCACCAACAATTCACTACAAACAGAAAGTCAGAGATGCTCAGGGTGTGGCAATGGGGCAGCAGCAGATGCAGAGTGGGCGAGGATACTGGACACCAAGAGGGCACTGGGTTATGGCAACCCAAGCTGCTGTACCAACATCCAGCCACCCAAATACTTTTCCACTTAATTGTTTGGGGAAGTCTCTTTTTCTAGCCCCAAAGGCACCTCATGGCCACTTCTTTTTATCTACACAGCTGCCTTCCACAGAGCACCCAAGAATGGGACCATGTTTCTCTCCCTTTTTCTTCTGTTAGTTCTGTATCTTTAGAGCTGATGCCATGTTTTAGGCATTCTTTCAGCCTCATTTCTTTTTTCCTCCCAAACTGGGATAAAACTAAGCAAGGTAGTAAGTGCATTAGCTCAGAGCCCAAGAACTGGGAGGCAGGTGCCTACAGAACTGTATCTGAGCTGGAAGTCCAACCAGAAGAAGCACGGAGGATGCCAGTTACTAGTGGGGGCTGTGGAAGCCACTGGCAGGGAGGACCAAACTGTACTGGCAGCTGGGCCCACCACACACCTCTCCCAAGGAAAAGAAAGTGAAGGTTTTCCATCTTGGTATTTCTTCTCCTCTGGAAGCATAGATTCAACCCAGAGGATGGGGTCATCTAACTCTCTCCCCTTTAAAGGTAGAAAAGGAATGGTCTCACTCCCCTCCTCTCCCTTTCTTTGAAGAGTAAGGGGCTTTATTTGCTTCCCTTTGGGAGAAGCACAGAATTTCCCTAGGGTTCTGGGAGAGCCCAGTTATGTCACTACCCTCTGCTTTGGGGGACAATTAGCAGGATGGCAGACGTTCAATCTATATAAGATCTTAATTCCACAGCTGTAGGGCTCCAGAACTACAGAATTTGAGCTCCCTAGAAGTACTGGAATACTACATTCTACTTTTTCGTAAGCTTCCATCACCAAAGGAAGAAAAGAAGCATTTATCTTCTATCCCTGACCTGTCCCCTAATCCTACTCCCAACCAAGAATCTTGAGCAAAATATTTTTCTCCATTTCGCAGAAGAAAAGTAGGGAGTATTTTTTTCTTATGTGTAGACAAAAGCTAAAAAGGAGGAGGGGCTTCAATTCAGCTCCTTTTAAACTAGTAACCTATCTGCCCCCAATCCAAGTTTTTCCAGCTTTTTCCTCTCTTTTGGGATATTGTTGAATGGAAGGACAAAATTACCATTGTTTCCTTTTGTTTTGTTTTTATAAAGATACATCTACCAACAAAGGCATAAGATTAGTTAGTCTCTTATCAGCATGAAAACCTGTGTTCTGGCTGGCCCCTCTGTTCTACCTGAGGACAACCGTCCCCGCCCCCCACCCAGTTCTTCTGGCAGGCAGGGGAAATGAAAGATTTCCAGAGCCAGCAATAACTTTACATTCTACCCACAGCTCTTTTTGTGTGGCAGCAAATCTTCACTGTGAAATCAGCAATTCTAGGAAAGTAGAAGGTAATTCACCCTCTCCAAAAACAGGGGGCCACTTCAGGGCACTGGACATACTTTCACTCTTAAAGGCAGGTCTCCTTTGATGCCTATGGTCTGCTATGAGCCTAGGAATTTCAGGACAAAAACAAGGAAGGAAGGGAAGGAGGGAGGAAAAAGAGAACACAAAGTTCAAATAAAGCAAAAACCCATTACTCTCTGGGTCTGGTATACTCTAGGATGCATTCCATCTCTCTCTCTCTCTCTCTCTCTCTCTCTCTCACACACACACACACACACACACACACACACACACACACACACACACAGAGTGATATGTTGTCCAATGAAAGGAATCACAGCAAGTGTGCTCCCCTGGCTGAATCTGAATCCTGCCTCTCAAAAGAAACTGTGTAGGGCAAAATTTGAATCTCGAAAGTCAAGGTAGAGGAGGAACAAGAACCACAGACTTAACCCATTTCAAATCAGCATAAGACCTGGAAAGGACAAAGAGCATGGCAGCTAAGCAAAGATTCACTAAGTGCCCATTAAGTGCCCAGCACTGTTGGAGGCACTCAGGGGAACAGGAAGATAGATGGCTGATGCTGACCTAAGCAGGTCCTCATGGCCTCTGATTCATAAGAGGCCAGTGGCAAGCAATCACCAGGCAAGAGAGCTCTTGAGGGTCCATGCTGGTCCTGAGGAAGGGACAAGGAGAGGACTGGCAGACCTTGCTGGTCATAGGCTTTGCCTTGTCTCCTGAAGACAACACCATAATAAGCCTTGACTGCACTACAAGTTTTATTCTTTGACTAGATGACTCTCTTACACAATGGTTTTCAACCCTGGATGAACATCAGAATTGCCTGGGAAGCTTTTTAAAATCCTGATGCCCAGACCCCACCCCAGCTCAATTAAATCAGACTCTGGGGGTAGCACCTAGACTTCAGTATTTTTTAAACTACCCCTGGTGATCCCAATGTG